ATTTGCTCTTTCTGTCCCCTTCCCACTGGCCAGTTAGCCTGCTGAGGAAGCAGCCCTGGTCTGAGCATACTGCATACTGAGCTATGAGATACTTTTGGTACTACGGGAGCATCAGCATCTGAATGGGAGCAGAGGTGTGTGAGCACTTGTCTCCATGCTCCTGGTTGTGAGACACAAGAAGCACTGAGCACCAGCAGAGCTGTGGCAGGGCCAAAGCTGATACGGTAAGGTCAGCAGAGAGCTCTGCCTGTGGCTACACTGCAGTGTGGGGCTGCAGCTCAGGGCAATGCTGAGGGTTCTGCTGCCATGGGGTAAAGGACCTTGGGATGTCTGAACATCATGGAGAACCTCCTCAGGTGAGTCCCCATAGAAACTTATGGCAGTAGCCTCATGTGTATCCCTCCTCATCCTGAGATCCTCTGGAGCTCCACAGACACTGTCCTGTCCCACAGGGTGACACATCCAGAGGGGCCAAAGTCTGTGAATGGAACTGAGCAAGAGAAAATATTGAACCAGGAGTATAAGCTACCGTCACCTTTTATTTCAGAATGTCTTTTTCCAAATCCAGAATGTGCAGCACATCCAGAGCAAGGAGTTCAACAGAGCCAGTGCCAGCCAGCATTCATACAGTGCAGGGAGCTAAGGGGAAGTCAGAGGCATCAAGAGAAGTATCCATGAGCAGAGCTGTTGGTGGAAATGTGGAGCTGTTTAATTACCCCAGGGTCAGATGCAGTCCCAGCTGCAGCGGAGGCCAGCAGCAGACCAGCGTGGGAGTGAAGAATCATGGATTACAGTGCTGTAATTAAGCACTCTGATCACCCTGGGACTTGGGCTGAGCACCGCACAGGATGAAGCGTGGCCTGGGCAAGGGCAGGCCTGGTGGTGGTTTCAAAGGTGACAGAGATGAGAAATCTACATTCAGCACGATAAGCTATTCTAAGAGGCAATTAGCTAGCAGATTAATTATCCTCACTATTAAAACCCGTCTCATTTCTAATCTGTTTTTGCCCAGCTTCCATTTCCAGCACCGGACCTCATCTTATCTCCGAGTGCCAGGTAGAAGGGCTGGCGATGCTGAAGAACCGCAGCTGCCCCACGCTTCCGTGCCACCGGGAGGAGCGGGGCCGTCCTGGCGGAGCACCATCGCACCTCTGCCTGCAGTGCCCAGGGCTGCACACAGCACCCTGGGAATTGAGTGTGGTGTGCAACCACCGCCTCGCCCAGACGTGCACTGCTGTGCATCACTGGCAATCCACAGCTCGCTCGTGGCTCTTGTCTGAATCCTCACCAATTCCTTTTCGCTTTGTTTTTTAAAACATGGACTCCAGAGTAACGGATGCCAAAGCTTGCGCTGTCTGGGCACCTTCCTCAGGCTGCCGTGTGTGGACAAAATAAGCTGGTACATATTCCTGCTCTGCATTTAAGGTAATAGCAAGGGATGATATTCATATTTCACAGTGGTAGTGGTACACCGCCTATTCCATCAGTGATTAAGGAAGATGCTCAAAAGGAACTAATTAACAATCTTTGCAGTCTGTGGGAGGATAACTTGCATCCAAGAGTTTTTAGTTGGCTGATGAGTTCACTGGACCTTTTGTTTTTCTTCATGACAAATCATGGCACTCTGGGGAACTTAAGATAACTGAGGGAAGAAACCTGATGTCTGACTGGTATTTAATGTGCTCGCAGATATCCAAGAAAATAGAGAGCAGTTAGTTCAGCATAGACCCCAGCAGTCCCAGGTAAACAGCCAAGGGATGCTCAGGGTGAATCAGTGAAAGCCAGAGCCCCAAAGAACAGCATTCGTTCTTTCTAAGTGAAAGAGTTACTTATAAACATTTGGGGCTTTTGTTCATTTGTTGATTTTTTTTTTTTTTTTTCTTCTTTTTCTTTCTTTGTAAGCCTACAAGCACTCAATATAACTGACTACATACAGATGAAGTGTCTGGACTCCTGTAGGTCACTTGACTTGGTTGTACACCATGTTGTATGGGAAATATGAGCTGCCCGCTATAGGCGATGCGATCAGTATTAACTGAGTTGAGGAAGCTGGGTAACAGAACAGTTATTCCATGTAACTCTGACAGGAGTACTCCTAGCTGCATTCCATTCACATACCAGTGCTATGTGTTATTAGCAAGCAGGGAGAAGAGGAAAAGTAATTTTTGGTAGAATTGTTGAGGTGGTTAAAAATGAAATGTTGGGATGGTGAAGGTGTCAGATGGTGCTTGGCCAGAACAACAGGATCTGCAGGATGTCAGGTTCCTGAAAAACTGGCTTCAGTGTATCCAAGTGCCAGGCACAACACAGAAACACGAAGAATGTAGGCTTCATTTTAATACAGAGACCAGATTGTGGACAGCAATGAGAAATAGAAGAAATAGAAGGTGTGTTATGTGCCACCTGAACAGAGGAGATTCTGGACGGGAGAGCACTGCTGCCAAAGCAGCTCCTGGGCCTTGTGCACCTGGTGATGCCAAGCACAGCTATGTGCATCTCACAGCCACAGCGCTGAGAGTAACCCTACAAAACAATGCAGCCACGTTTCCGATGCTAGGCTCAGGGCCAATCCTCTCAGCTCAAATGGATGCACCAGGACCCGGGAAGGTCTGTGCTTGTGGTTAAGGGGTGGGTGACAGCTTTTACACAGGAGTGACACAGCCAGATGGAATTCCGACTGATTAAGGAGGGAAGAGGCAGTGATCTGTAAGATCTCGAGTAGTTGATGCAGAACAGTCCACAAATGCACAGATTTTTTGAAGGCAAGAGTTTAAAGGTATGCCATGAAACAAGGTGACAGCATGAGGACAAATGGAAGAGATGAGAGCACAGTGTGCAACTTAGTTAAGAGCTTCTTTCTAGAAGAGTATCATAATGCTCTTCTAGACCCACAATTATGTGGGTCCAAAAATTGACAGGTTAAATGCATGGTAGAAAAAGATCCACACAGAGCTGCTAAATATGATAATGTGGCACATAATGCTGCTTACTGAGGGACAGGACAGGTAAGAGTCAAGCAGATATCCGAGGCGGGGAAGCCCATAGGGAAAGGTCACAGAATCACCAAGGTTGGAAAAGACCTCCAAGATCATCCAGTCTAACCGTCCACCTACCACCATCATTTCCCCACTAAACCATATTCCTCTGTTCAGCATCCAAACGTTTCTTGAACAATAGAGCTGACTACATACAGATGACACGTCTGGACTCCTATAGGTCACTTGACTTGGTTCTACACCATGTTGTATGGGAAATATGAGCTGTCGGCTATAGACGATGTGATCAGTGTTAATTGAGTTGTTGAGGTGTGCCAGGGACAGCAACTCCACCACCTCCCTGGGCAGCCTGTTTCTGTGCCTGGCCTCCCTTCCAGAGAAGAACCTGCTCCTAACATCCAACCTGAGCCTCCCCTGGCACAACTTGAGGCTGTTCCCTCTCACCATACTGTTGTTACGTGGGAGAAGAGGCCGACCCCCACCTCACCACCACCTCCTTTCAGGCAGTTGTAGAGAGCCATCATGTCTCCCCGAGCCTCCTCCAGACTGAACAATCCCAGCTCCATCAGCTGCTCCACGTGAGATTTGTGCTCCTGACCTCACAGCTCCACTGCCTTCTCTGCACACACTGCAGAGCCTCCGTGTCTTCCTGGCTGTGAGGGGCCCGGAACCAGACAACACCTTACCTGAGTTACAGCATCACCAGAGCTGGTATCAGTGGAAACTGACCCTTCAGCTAGAGGAAGGGGACGCTGTGGAAGAAGGGATGGGCAATGTTTTTAGAGAAGGGCAGAGTGACACCCAGCAGCTGCGGTTGGGATGGAAACTTCTGCTTGGAAATGGGACAGCTTTGTTCCTGAGCACAGCCATGGGCTCACATTACTCTGCCAGTCACGAGGGTGCCTCCCTTTGCTCTGCCCCAAAGTACAGGCGATACCGAAGCTGAACAACTGCATGTGCCCAGGAGGCATTCCTGGCACCTGGCTGCAGCCGCAGTCAGCAGCTCCATGTGACAGTGAAAACAGATTCGAGCCAGTTTCAGTGCAGCTCCTGCATCACAACAGGTGCCCAAAGAGGACAGGCAGCTCCTGGAATTGGGCTGTCCACATGTGCAGGGGCACTGTGTGCTCCTCTGGTTGCAGAAACAGAGATATTCTGTAGGTTGACCTCTTTCAGACTGCACTGCCCTCAGCACTGAAATGCAGGGCAGATCCCAGTGCCAGCAGAAGTGGTATGGGGCTGGGCCTGAAGTCTAACAGCTGTGAGAAATTGACAAAGTGGAACAATTAAATTCAGGCCTCCCCCGACCTCACAAAAATGATATTATCTTAGTAGCTCAGTACACATTACTGAACATACATTACTGCAGGACAGCACTGGAAAGTGTGGATGGTGATAGGACAAGGGGGAATGGTTTTAAACAGAGACAGGGGAGGTTTAGGTTGGATATTAGGAGGAAGTTTTTCACCCAGAGGGCGGCGAGGCACTGGAACAGGTTGCCCAAGGAGGCTGTGGATGCCCCATCCCTGCAGGCATTCAAGGCCAGGCTGGATGTGGCTCTGGGCAGCCTGGTCTGCTGGTTGGTGACCTGCACACAGCAGAGGGTTAGAACTGGATGAGCATTGTGGTGCTTTGCAACCCAGGCCACTGCATACAGTGATTCTATGATAAGATATTGTAGATCCTCCTCTCCTGAGGGACCACTCCACGTACTTTTCTGAGGCTTTCGTGAGCACAGCTTCACAGCTCAGCTTCCTACAGACTGGACTTGTAGCTCTATGCCTGTTTGTGCCCTGGTGCTCGTTTGAATCAGGTGAGGTCTGAATGAAGTCGGAACTGGATGAGCATTGTGGTCTTTTTCAACTCAGCCAAACCTAAAAAAAAAAAAAAAAAAGAGGAGCCCACATGCACTGCTCTGTAGGCAGCCTCCATACCAAGGATGTCCAGCCAGCTTAAGGCAACCCAAATCCACACCATCACCATGAGACAGGCCCTCCTATTTTGTCCTTCCTCCAACCAGATATACATCATACCAAAAAGCAAACTATAAACCACTATAAAAAGTGGTTCAAATTGCAAGAATTAGGCTATGGGACTTGTTCCCATAAACAAATCACCCTGAGCAGTCATGTGAGCTTGGCCAGCAGGGAGGTGGTGACTTCACGCTGGGTTCCAGCTCTGGTTCAAGGCAGATGCACTCCTGAAGCATACTACAAGCAGGGACTGTTATCCCATGTATTCAAAAGCTCTCCCTTTCTCTCCTCCTGCTGTTTTGTAGGCAGATGTTGGAAATCACCTCCTCTCCCTGCCCACTGATGCCATAAAGCAAGCTCTCAATCCTTTTTGGGTTACATCATCTTTACGCTGTGACCATATTACCTGGGCATGCAGACTGCTGCAGCCAGCTTCCTGGCACACACTGTGAGCCTAAGAGCACACATCCATATTGTATCCCGTTAGCAACCTGCGTGATGCATCCCTGGTGCAAATACACAAGGAATAGCACACCACAACTCACCGTTGTGTCAAGCTCACTACTGCAGAGCAGCATGGACTGGCTGTGCAAGGCAGTGGCAATGGGGAGCAGAGCTATGCTCCAGGCAGAGGCAGAAGCCCTGGCTCTGTCCCACTGCTCAGCCTTCAGCTCTGCATGTCCCTGCGCCCTGGAGCCAGTCTGGATATTCAGAGGCTTCAGAAGATCATTGCACAAAGAGGAGCGATCACAGTGCTGTCCTAGCACATACTCTGCCAGACAGCAGCAGCCCAGGCAGTCCCTGAGGCAGTGACAGGATCGAATTAACTTCCAGCAAATAGCTGAGAGCTGCTTAGCCTTGACAGCACTGACTTAAAATCACAGCAGATGCTACCTCTACCTTTCTCACAGCGCAGCATGAGCTGTGCGTGGCCCTGCACTGAGCTGTCAGTGGCTGGGGGCACAGGACCAGGCTGCTCTGTGCCTAAGGCACGCTTCCTCCTCGGCCCACAGCCCTGGAGCTGGCACAAGCACTGCCGTAAGCTGCAAGGCCAGGCAAATCCAGACACTGCACCTGCATGGGAAGAGTGCATTCAGGAGGCCTCAGCTCCACGCCAAGCACCTTTCGTCCCTGGGTCCTCAGAGGAGCAGATGGACACACAGGTCTGAGTACACGAGCTGCTGTGCACATGAGCTGGGACATGCAGTCTGCAAGCCAGGGCAGAAGTTGTAGGCTGGCATTTATTAGTGAGTATTCCAAAAAGCCTTGTGTACAGACTGTAAACATGACAAATATAAGATCCAACAGATGTCCGTGACAGCAGAGCAGCCTGGGTCTGGTTAGAATTTGTAGGTTTGGGATAGGAAGGTGGATGGTCTACAACAAAGCTGAGATCAGTCCAGCATGTTTCCCCGATCCACAGAATGCCCTGATCCTCATCTCTTGCTTTTCTTGGTGAGTCTGGAGCTCGTCCTGGTTAGTGTGGGTGCATGGAGCGCTCCGTAGGAACGGGAGGCAGCACACAGGGATGGCAGGGACAGCACAGCAGAGGCACTGGCATAGTGCAGCAAGAGGGAAGGGATCAGCAGGAAGGATGTAAAGTGCACAGAAAGACAGTGGGATGTAGGGCCACGCACTCAGTAGAGAATGTCCTCGAAGCTGAGCAGCAGGAAGCGGTGCAGGGCGCTGGGCAGGTGCAGCTGGGAGAGCACCGGGAGCAGCCGGCCCTCCAGGAAGGCCCTGAGCGCACAGCGGGCCAGGTGCTGCAGGGAGCGGGGCCTCTGCTGCAGGGAGAACAGCGACTGGTAGAAACGGGGATACTTCTGTGGGGAGAGAACAGAGGTCAGAGACACACAGAATGGACGATCCCACTCTGCCCCGGCGCCTGGGTGCAGCTCTCCCCCCTGCCGCCCTGCAGGGCCCCCCAGCCCCGTTCCCAGACCTGCCATCCCTCACCTGCACAACTTCTGCTGGCACCGCTGACACCCACTCCTCAGACACACGCACGTGGTCGTAGCAGTTCATCAGGGCCTCAATGGCACGCGGGCAGGCATTGCAGTACCGCAGCACCTGTGCGTGGGAGGCAGCCCATGGATGGACCCGCGGTCCTGTGGGTCACACCCTCACCTCTCAGAAAAAAACAGCCTCGGCATTCCACCCCTGTGCTGTGCGCCTGGCTGCTTTCCTCACACGTCTGGTCAGAGCAGGAGCACGGGGCAGGGACTGACGCCATCCTGTGTGCAGCAGGACCGAAGCGCAGCCCTTCTGATGGGAGCTCCGAGGGGCTCTCGGGGCTGCACTGTGCTGGGCAAGGCTGCAGACATCCTCTGCCTGCGCTGTGTGTAATTGGAGCCCCAGCACCACGCCCCTGTGAGCCCCAGAAAGGGATCGTACACATTTGGTGCGACACAAATCTCTGCTGTGCACCGTGCCCGTGTTTTCACAGCACCCAGAAGTGCAAGAGACACACTTGTGACGGTTTCTCTTACACCAGCACGGTCTTGGGAACACACAGCACCCACACGTGGCTGTACCCAGCACAGCCCCACAGCTCCGGGTTCCCACTCCCTATGGCCCAGGCCAGCAGCCACTGTCAGAGTCTATTCCGGCTGTAAGAGTGATCCTCATTATCTGGCGTTAATAGGAGATTAATTAGTGTTAATTGTTGATTTTCCTGTATTTTCCCAAAGGGGAGAGCAATCTGCTGATCTCCGGGCTGGGTAATTATTGCACTGCTCAGGAATTAAGACAGGAACTTAACTCTTCATTTGCTGGTGTCTTGCAGGGGAAGCATGAGCTGGAGGATGCACCCCAGGGAGGAGAACCAGCACCTGAGAAGAAGGAAGGCAGCGCTTCCTGAGGCAAGCAGCTATGGAAACTTGGCAGGGATTCTCCATACGGCTGAGCAGATGGGTGCTGTAGAACTCCACTGGAGAATATGTCCCAGGGAGAAAGCTTCAGGAAATCCCTTAGCAATAGCAGCTTTTCCTTCTCCCCCAGGCACTGGGAGGAAGCAGCCAGGCCAGCAAGCCCAGAGCACAACCTGCTGTGTCAGGATCACCCTCACTCCCACTGCAGTCCCGATGCCGCTGTCTGCCCTCCCCGCTGCACTGCCAGCCCCACGCACCTTGAGGAGGGAGCCAGGCCAGATGCGGATGGCCCCGTAGTTGAGCAGGGTCCGCACCACAAGCTCGGGATGGTGCTCCAGCTTGTAGGCAGCTGTCTGCAGGATGTTGTGCAGGGCTGTGTTGCCGCTGTAGTTCATGATGTTGACGTTTGCACCCCGGGCCAGCAGTAGCTCTGCTATCTGAGCGCTGGCGTTCTTGCAGGCCAAGTGCAGTGGGTGCTGATGGTCCCTGTCAGCAGCGTTGACGCTGGCACCGCTCTCCACCAGCAGCTGGCAAACCTTGTAGTAGCGCTCCGTGTCCTGGGGCGAGTGGGGCTGCGCGCAGGCGGCATTCAGCGGCGTCTGCCCCTCCTCGTTCCTCGCCTCCAGCTCCGCTCCGTGTTGCAGCAGCAGCTGGACGTGATCGGCGAGGCCGTGCCGTGCTGCCACGTGCAGCGCTGTGTCCTCCTCCTCCTCTGTCCGGCTGTTTACATGGGCACCGTGCTTCAGCAGCTGCTGAACGCACCTGTGAGGGCCAAGAAGACTCAGTGACAGCCCCTCCCCTACCACTCCTATCCTACCTGCAACCCCCACATCTTCTTGTCTGCACCACCCCATGGCTTTCACAACTCCCAAGAATCCCCAAATCCCAGCTCCTCATGCCTGGAACAGTGGGTTTAAGCCAGGACAGCTGGGCAGCAGAGATTCTATTTCCCATAACCCAGCCTCCTTTCTTTCCACAGGTGGCTGATAAGTGTCAGTACACCCGGGGTCTGCATCCACATCCATCGGCACACGCATGCCTCGAGTTCCACAGCATCACCCATCAGCTCTGTGCTGCCAGCGGGCAGCAAGGCAGCAGTACCACATTCAGCTGCATCAGCTCTGAGATCTGGAGCCTGCAGTCATCTGGCAGGCATCTGAGATGGCCCTGGCCCAGGAATATGCAGCCAAGCCGCCCTATGCATCAGCCAACTGGCCGCATCCACCAGCCCACCTGCAGGTGTGTGGAAGGATCCCTTCCGCACAAGGTGAGGCTCAAGCAGGGGAGATCCCCCTATTCCCCTTGGGCAGAACTCACTTGATGGAGTCTGGACTCTTGCAGAGATGCAGAGGCTTGTAGCCATCCTCAGAGACAGCCTCAGGGTCAGCACCAAAGCTGAGCAGCAGGCGCACGCAGTCAGCGCTGGCTGCCACACAAGCCTCGTGCAGGGCAGTCTTACCCCCCGGTGCAAAGTTGACGGCAGCACCCCTGAGCAGCAGGAGCTGCAGGCAGTCTGTGTAGCCCCGGCTGGCTGTGATGTGTAGTGGTGTGGTGAGCTCTTGCTCGTAGCTCAGAGACCACAGTCCTGCAGAGAAAGGGGAGTCAGGGAGCCACATCCAGCCCTGGGTCCAGAGCTGCCCTGTTCTAAGGGTACATAATATACCTCCTGAGACTGGGGCTTTCCCTCAAGGAGCTCTCTTCCTGCCAGTTACCAAAGTCTCTGCCTTGGGCCTGGCCTGCTGAGGGCACAGGACAGCCAGGATTTGGCTGAGGCTGCATGCTGTGCCTGCCCAAGGGAGCAGAAGAAGCCCCAGGGCCAAGGCCTTTCCCAGGGTTTGGCTTCTCATCAGCAGCTCACCTGAGCAGCACAAGACTTCTGCTGGCAGGAGCACAGTGGGTGAGGAGACTGGGCAAAGGCAGGGCTGAGAGCAACACGGTGGCTGGGGAGAACAGCATGCGTGAGGCACCACCAAAGAAGGACCAAGCAGCAAAACAAATGGTTGCTGGAGCAGGCTGTCACAAAGAAAAGCCCTGAGTGTGGCACAGACAAGCAAGTCTCAGCAGAGATGGTCATCCAGGGCCTGTGCCAGAGGAGCAGCTGAAAGCTGCCAGTTCCTAAAGATGCTGACCCAGCTGGAACCACTGCTGAGCTGGTACAGTCTACAGGCACACAGCCTGTAGCTGTTAAGAAAGAGCCCTCCTTCAATCATGCTTCCTGCTGCCTCTTTGGACTGAGCTGCAGGGCTGTGTCCCATCCCAGGCCACACGATCGCTCAGGACCGCTTCCCTCTTACCTCTTCTCAGCATGCACTCAGCTGTTTTTATGGGACTGGGTTCAAACAGAACCTTCCCAAGGACCCGGCACAGAGCTGAGGCAACTCCTCATCCACAACAGCTTGCAGAGAGCACCAGCAGCCCTGCAGCCAGCTCAGCTGCACAGAAAGCACAGAGACATGGAAGCAGGCTATGGGAGCACAACCTGGAACCTGAATTCCTGTTTAGAGGGGAAACCCAGAAGCTTTCCCACGCAGCCCATACAAGGGCTGGGTACCCAGAGCACACCTCACACTCCCAACCACACACAGGGGCACCCCGCCACATCCAGTACTCACTCTCATCCCCACCTCTCCACAGCCAAAGCAGCACCCGTAGCACACAGTTCTACGCCCTGCAGCAGAAGCAAAGCTCTGAGCGCACGCCCAGCAGCCCCATGCAGCAGCCCTCGTACTCAGCCCACGGAAATTGAAGCGGTAGTTCCTCCACTCCTCCAGGTCACTGGTGTCAAACACCACGCTGGGACTGAGCTGGTGCTGAGGGTGGCTGAGGAGATCGGCCACAACCCCCTGCTCCCCTGCCAGTAGTGCCTGCCAGAAAGCCTGGGCTGGGCCCTCCGCCTTCCGTGTGCAGATGGGCTCCCGCTGCTCATCCCCTCTGCCCATGGGACTGCCCATGATGCAGAACCCAGCCTGCAGACGGAGCCACGGCCGGACCCGCTGCCTCCACAGCCTGTGGCACAGCCCCACCAGCGCCGTGCCCTGCACTGCCTGTCTGGGAACAGGGACATGTCACAGCCCTGCTTGGCTCGGGCTGGGAACGACTCAGATCTCTCTACTATTTTGGGAACCCTCGTGACCCTGCAATAGTGCCAGGGGCAGGGAAGAATCTCCCACCAGGCAGCAGCGCTTCTGCATCGCTGCCGTACAGGGAACCCCTGCAGCACCACACCACAGCACGTGGGGCAGAGGAGGAGGGTAAAGGCAGGACATCACTGACAGGACAAGAGGGAGCAGCGTCTGCTGTCACCCCACTGCTGCCTGTGCCACTGCAGCATCGTGTAGCTGACTGTTCACTCACAGCACGCAGCTGCCTTGCTGCTGGCTCCATCCAGCGCTGCATTCACCCCTCTTTGCTGGTTCCAGCCAAGTCAGTGGCACCAGGCAGGTTTTTAAATAAGCAACAGGAAAGTTATTTCTTATCAAAGCTCGAAGTCAAAGTAGCATTAGAAGTAGATCAAGGATGGGGAATGATGCATTACAAGCCAAGTGAAAACATAGAATGTGATTATCCTTTAGATCTCTTCCTACATTTCCTTGAAATTCAGCCTTGCTGAGAGCTCCTACAGTTTAAGTTCTGCTTTTTCCCATCCTCTGACAGTCCCATCACTGGGCATTTCTCACTGCTGTCCTTTCACTCTAAGATGTCATTTTTCCTTCCCCACTTGCTGCACAAACACATCCTCCCCCTGCACTGGTTTCAGAAGAGCACTTTGCTCACACTTCTTGTTACCATGATTTGTTCAGAGCACTTTCTAACAAACACTCCGAACTTCTTGAAAGGTTTCATTTTGTGTCATGCCATTCAGATCATGCAGCCAAAGCAAACTAACTGACAGCAACCACGACGACACAGGAGACCAGAGTAGAGTATAAAATGGGAAACCTTATTTTCCTAATAATGGAAATAAATGACTGCACTCTATCCTGATATCCTAAAGCATCTTTTGCCTGTGCAGACTTCACCACCAGCAGCCCAGACACAACACAGTGCATGAAAGAGTAACAGGAGGGAAGCCCTCGGCGCACTGCCTCACCTCAATTTCCCCAAAGACGTAAACAAATACCCAATAAGAGCCCGAGTTCCCCAATTCTTAAAGAACTGGGAGACAAAAGGTGGTGTGAGTTGGTGTCAGTAACACCGCGCATGGACACCTCCTGGGGGCTGCTCAAATACCAGCAGGGAGGAACCTCAGTAATGCCAGGTCACGGGGCTCTAATTTTAGGTCATCGCTTGGCACGTTTCAGCACCCATTTGTGCAGTTCAGGGACACACAGCCAAAGACTCAGGTGTGTCTGAAGCGTTCTGCATTTCATCTTTGGTCCGGGCTTGATGCACAGACCTGTTTGGTTGGGTTTTTCACATTTTGAATCTTTGGTGATAACATTCACTTCGGGGTGACATTGTTTTACAGAAGCTACTCTGTTTTCTCTGGGACACAGATTTTATAAGCGAGCTGCTGAAGTGCCAGCCAGCCCAGCACAGGGCAGGAATTAAAGCATGCAATTAACAGCTTTCTAATAAGTGGTCTCAGTTATGCAAAGGGAAATAACATTTGTATTTTTCTTCCTAAGTAGACTGTAGCAATATAGAACATGGTTATAAAAATCCTGGATCTCAGTAACCTTCACCATCCAAAAAGTGTCAGCACCTGCATCTGAAAGCTCACCCCTCCTGTTGCCTCTTGCTAGCATGGATCCCCACAAAGCTCAACTCAGTCAATACGGTCTGCAGCCTTGTGCCAGGGTGCTTGAGGAGAGCCCACGCCTCTGCACAGCAGCCTTCATCCTCAGCCTCTCCTCCCTGGCACAGGCCGTCACCAACAGCCTCCTCTCCGCGTTCCCACTCTGCACACCCACCAAATTTCTTGCTGGTCCAGCGCAGCTCCTCACTCCTGGTCTCAATGATGAGGTTGATGGCTGTGCTCCGGGTGAAGAACTTCTGAACCATCTCCAGGTCCCCGGTGAAGAGCGCGTTCTGCACCAGCACATCCTGGCACTGCAGGGGCTCCATGCGGCCGACCCGGGACTGCTGGGCAGCCACACTGCGCTCAGTGTGGTGGGACTGGGGCCGAGAGCACCTCTGCTGATCCAGCTGCTCCTTGTCCCGCTGCAGCGAGCGCTGCGTGGCAGAGCTGAAGGGAAAGGAGCAGTCCATGATGGGCAGCACAGAGGACAACTCCAAACCTTGCAAACCTGCTGCAGCCAAGAGTTTATTGTCTCAGGCTGCCTCCTGTGCAGGCTGCTCCCAGTTTGCAGCTTCCCAGCTCTGGGCTGGGTTTGGGCACAGGCTTAACTCACCCCCATATAAATAGTCCTGCTTGGCAGCTCCCCTGCGACCTCCCACCTTCCAGGAATTTATTTTCAGCTGCTGGATGCAGTCACCAGCATAGACTGAGCTGTGCGCAGGACAGAGGCGGCCTCAGACTTTGCTCCTTGCTTTCTGGTTCACTCTACAGAATCCCTGCCCTGCACTGTGCCCCCACCTTGGAAACAAGGGAGCAGAGACAAGGGTGGTGGTGGGGAGGGTGTTGTCAGTAATCATATGAGACAGAGTACTGAGGTATTCCCTTCAGGTCAATCCATAAGGACTAAAAAAGCCCTCCCAAAGCCCATGTGCTGCTCTGGGAACGGCAATGAACACAAGGGCAGTGAGGAAGCCTGTACCCTGATGAGCACAGGCTAAACCCTGGGAGGGTCAGCTTCATCTCCTGGCACTGCAGCAGACAGTTCCTATGGGAACCTTGGGATGTTGGTAATGCCTTTAGGTCTCTTGGTAGGTTGTGTCCAGCTGTGCAATGCACCATCCAGAAGCCACATTTTGGATGCCCAAATGCAGCCATTGAGGCTTGTGGTGAGATAGAAAGCAGATCTTGTTAGCCATGATGTTGCGGTGGCTTGACATAGGTTCAGGACCTGTGAAATGTTTTCAGTCTCAGACTACTTCCCTATAACTAAGCTGTTAATTGCTGTGCCCTGTCAACATAACCTTCCAGCTGGACAGGCTGTGAATGTCAGCAGCAGTCACCCTTCAGCTGCTGCAGGAACATCAGCCATCCCCTGCAGGGTGCTCTGTGCTCAGCCCAGTCCTATAACTGAGCAGAGCCCAGGGTGCTGGGCAGCACTGTGAGATGCCACTGGAGGCTCTGCACCCAGAGCACCTTCCAGCTGGGAGTGCTGCACAGACTCACTGACCTCCTGGACCACACTGTCCCCCTGCAGAGGGAGGTTCTGTTAAAACCACCACACTGGCGCAGCAGACGTCTCTCCTGGACTTCACCATCTATCCCACAAAACAAGCAAATTGTGTCACAGGAACTGCCAGATCAGCTCAGCCACTAAGAATGCCAGCAGACACTGCTGCTGTAAGGATTTCCCTGTAAACTCTGGCTTACATCCCTCAAACTCACATCCAGAACCCTCCAGCTTCACCCAATTTCTCTGTGCTCATCACATCACAGAACCTTCATGTCTGTGTGCAGATCTGTACACAAGTGCACAGTACTCTCATTTTCTTTCAGTGCAGACACCCATTCCCCAAACCCTCTCCCCTCTCTGCAGACAGATGATGACTAGAATTGACCAGCAGAGGTCCTGTCCCAGGGCAATAGGTGCAGACCCAATCACAACTATTTATTCTATTTTTCTTGTCCTTCCCCTATGTCCCCTTCACTTCTGCTGTCTCTGGCACTACTAGCAGACACCTTCTACCCAGCACTATCTTTATTTACGAGTCCCTAGCTCTTTTCCAGCCTGTCCCTCCAACTCCTGCTGCTGCAGCAACTGGAAGCAATGGGGTCATGCTTCCCCCAGCTGTGGGCTTAGACACAGCATCCAGACATAGACTTCCACCCTCAGAGCTATTCACACAGCCAGCAGCCATCCAGGAAATGGGTCCAGAAGGACAATCTGGCTGCTGGGCAGAGCTGAGGGCTCCAGACATCACATCCACATTCAGGAAGTTTCACAGACCTTGAGCTGAGATTGTGCACGTTTCTTTGCACACTTTATAACAGCTGCTGCTATGGAGTAGTAGCAGTACTATGGAATCTTCTTACCTCCATCACTACAAAAACAAATAAAAGCACAAAATACAATCAGACTCTTCCCCTCCCTTCCAAAAAACTCACTAACTTCCCCCCCATCAGAATGTTTCCTTTATGTTAGCACAAAGTTTTACCTTCAAATCTAGCTCACTGAACCCACTGTGTGCACCAGTGGGCTGCAGAGTCTCCTATGAGAGGTGGGGGGAGGAAGCACCTCCTCCTGACTGTACATTTTGTACATTATTTTCGTATCAGCTACATAAGATCAGCAGCACTCAGTCCTCTCTCTCCAGTGACTTCAGAGCCTTTAGCAAGTTCTGCCTCCAATGTTTTGGAGCTGCGTGTGAGGAAGAATACTGAGAGAGTCAGAGTAAATGGGGTCACATGCAACCCCACAACCCATGCCTGACCCAAGGAGGGAAGAGGATGCACATCCTCTAAAACTGCATGTTGCTGTTGTATTCAGCTATCAGTCCTCTTCTGAGAATTTTTACTGTTATTGGAAGAGGTGTGTTTTGGCTCTTTCTAAATCATTTATCTGTTTTATCATTAAGCTTTCCTTGTGTTGGAGGCCAAGATGGGCAGATCAAAATCAGAAAGCTTACAGTGTATTTCTCATATGGTGTAACAATGCACATAGAGTGCCATGGGGTCAGCAGCCGACCATCACTGGGAGACAACACAGTGCAAACCTGCAGCCATCACTGCTAGGAGCAGGATCATCCACTGGCAAGTGCCCAGATGTCACAACTTCCCCACAGGAGGCAGTAATTAGGGACAAGGAGAGGAGAGCAAAGTTGAGCTGAGCTTCCTTACTTGGGTACACTGGGAACACCGCTGAGTGCTGTCAGGAATCTGGATAAAAGCAGCACCAAAACTTCATTTTGGTCCTGATGAGCAGTTCCAGATTTAGAGAGCTAATCTCAAGAAGCGAGCACAAGGATCAACACGCAGCACCAAAGACAGGGAAGGACGGTATCACAGATCATGCCTCTGATCGTATACTTTCCCTCATCCCAACTGTAACACATTGCTCTCCTTTCCCAGGCTCTCTGTCACTCTTCTCAAGCCCTGGCCTAAGCCTCCTCTGTCACGCTCGGTCCTTTCCAACCTCTTCTGTGGTCCTCTTGGCAGCCAGTGTCACTGATTATATGTCACTCTTATTTTTTATCCCTCTCTTCCTATCCTTTTTCTTTCTCCCTTCTCAGTTTCCATTCTACCCAGCTCACCTTTATCCACAAAAGCCCCATGCCCAAAGGAACTATTCCACATAAATTCCTGGTTGCTATGCACAAGGCAGAGCAGGAAAGCAGGGGTCCCTAACAGTCAGGAACAGTATGAGTGATCTCACAGGGCCCAGCAACACATCCATGCTCAGTGTAAAACACTGCCCCAGGTTACAGCAGAGTTTGTGCCTCTTCAGCATAAGGCAGTGACCCAAATCCTCCATCCTGCGTCCATCCAGCTACCTGCATTTACTCACTGCCTTGGGAGTTCAGGAACAGCAGCCTTGGGACAGGATGGGGGAAAGCAACCCCACCTCCTGAGACCGTTTAAAACCTCAGCTATGAAGAGTCCCCACGTTTGCATCCTGCCATCCGCTGGTTTGACAGCCTCTGCCCCCACCCCCACTTTGCTTCTGCCCTGGTAGCTGCACAGGAGTCTTCTGAAAATAGGGCGCTGTAGTCATCTGTTTCCTATTCAGGACAGCCAGGGAAGCAGCCAGAGAGATCACTATTCAGAGGATACAGATGCCAGAATCCAGCCTGCATTTGAGTACACATGGGGAGCTTGATAATCATCCCACTAATTTTGGACCTAAGGTGGCACCAAAAGAAAAATCACAGCTGGAACCTCCTAGTGCTGAAAACGATCAGGAGGAATAGAACAAGGGGACAAGGACAAAGCAGCACCAGGCGCCATGTAGCACGGCACAGGAGCTCTGTTTTGCACCACCTGGGAGGACAGCCAGGGGTGCCCATCCAGCAGAGGAATGGCCATAGGAAGGAGCAGTGAGGCTACCCTCCCTGTCAGCCACCCAGCAGTGCTCAGGAAACCTCTGCTGAAGCTGCTGCTCCATCTGCTCCCTCACGCCTGGCCCCTCCAACCACAGACTCCCATGGACATCCAATGGTATGTGCTGGTGCTTAGCCCCACAGCATAGCAGCACTCCTGGGAGCTGCAGGGTCTGATGCCCGCAGAACACAGGTGTGAAGGCACTGAGAGCAGACACAGCTTAGTACTGGCCATGAAGGACCCGGGAGACAGGGCCACCAGCAGACAGCCCACCCAAAGGCCAGCACCTGGCCACCTCCCCGCTCCTCGTGCTGCAGATGACACCGGCAGCCTTAGCAAGTGCACTTCTCCCTTTTGCCAGGTGGAAGCAGCCATGGTGGGAAAGAAGAAATATTAGGAGCATCAGAAAGAGGTTGTGTGGGGAGCGAGCAGCACGCGTGTAAACGAGCTTGTAACGAGTTTGTAATATGCATGTGTGGCATGGCCTGCGCAGCGTCATCACAATGGCAGAGGCACTTTCCCGCCTCATTGCCTCCCAAATGGATTTTAAATATCATTCTGAGGACACAATTATTTAAAACGCTGAACTAAACACTCGCTAATGGGAAAACGGCGTGTGGCCTGCAGCAGCCATTCCTCATGGGGCCACTCTGCCAGTGTCATCCTCTCCTCCAGCCCTACACCCTGCATGGGGCCACGGGGAGCATCCCCCCCCCCACCCAGAGGCCACGCAGGGTACCACCAGCCAGCACTCCCATTCCCATCCTCAGGCTGCAGAGAAGCACTGCCCTGCCCCAGGCTCTTCCATACTGGGGCCATGGCACTGGGTCAGCACCGAGGCCCTGCAGTCCCTGGCCACATCTCGGTACACATCAGGATCTAACCAGACAATAGTCTCTCAGTATTCCTGCGTGTCTGGCAGGAGGCAATGCAGGACTTGAAAATGCTGCTAGAACAGGGATACCTCCTGTCCCACGTCGTTATCTTGCCATGGAATTACAGATATTGGATAATATTTACTTTTCAAGAAAATTAACTTGCGAATAACTCTCCACCCCCCTCCTGGGCAGGGGAGATGAAGGGAGTAGCATTACTGCTGGCTGCATCCAAGATTCCAGAGCGAATGGAACATGAAGACAGACAACAAAGGAGGAAATAAACTACTTGCAACAATCCTTGCTGGGGAGAGCATAGTTGGAGACCAGCGCCAAGGGTGCCACAGCTCCTCAGTCCCTTTACAGGGCAGTATCAGGCACAACAAAGCCTCAGACAGCAATGTGTGCTCATGGGGGAGTGTCTGTCTGCCCTTCAATCATCATTCGTCTCCCATTCTCTGGCAGGGATTCTGGGCCACAACAAGTTAAGGAGTCGTCATTATTCAGAGACAACAGCCTGTCTCAGACCAAAGCAGAGAAGGGAAGGGACACAGACCAGCACCAGCTCCACACTCCATCTCCAGCAGTTGAGCACAAAGCGGATGAGAATCCCTGTCCCTTGCTGTGCTGAAACTCTGGCCACACTTCAGAGGTTCATATTTTAACAGCTTTGGCATCACCAGAGCTATCCATCACCAGCTTGTTTTCCTCTGAGTGCTGAACCATTCCTGCCTAAGCCATTTGGAACAGCATCTAATGATGCACCAGAGCAGCCACCTGGCAGCACTGCTGCCAAGGGACACAATAACATGGGAAGAGAGATGCACATAGGTCTGCAGATTAGTGCCAGCCTCCACTGCCCAAAAAGTTATCTCCCTCCAAACCTGCACCACCTGTTACAGACCAGAGAGGTGCTCTGCCCCATAGTCTCCTTCCCTGAAGAGGTTGCTTCTGGCCCACAGACACACGTAGTTTGATAAGAACAAAGCAGATGGACATGAGGCCAGGGATGTGCAACGTGACAGTGTTGCACTGCAGCACTGAGAGCTCATGGGGCGGCTTGTAAGGATACGGGTAAACTTGGAAGAAGACTTCAGCTACATGGGCTGAAGGGTTCCAAGGCTCTTCGGAAGAGTACCTGCACAGCTCCAAGCTAAGGTATGCTTTTTACCAGCTTCTGGCTCACTGCTGCTATGACAAGTTTCCCCTGCTGGTTGGAACAGATTATTCACTGCTCCCATAGAAACTTCATTCAGAGCTCACCGGATTCAAACGAGCACCAGGGCACAAACAGGCATAGAGCTACAAGTCCAGTCTGTAGGAAGCTGAGCTGTGAAGCTGTGCTCATGAAAGCCTCAGAAAAGTACGTGGAGCGGTCCCTCAGGAGAGGAGGATCTACAATATCTTATCATAGAATCACTGTATGCAGTGGCCTGGGTTGCAAAGCACCACAGTGCTCATCCACTTCCAACCCCCTGCTGTGTGCAGGTCGCCAACCAGCAGCCCAGGCTGCCCAGAGCTTGGATGCCTGCAGGGATGGGGCATCCACAGCCTCCTTGGGCAACCTGTTCCAGTGCCTCACCACCCTCTTGGTGAAAAACTTCCTCCTAATATCCAACCTAAACCTCCACTGTCTCAGTTTAAATTGTCCTATCACTATTCACCTTCGTAAACAGCCACTGCACCTCCAACACTCCCTTCAAGTACTGCAAGGCCGCAATGAGGTCTCTCTCATTCTCCCTTATCACTCCCTCCCTCAAATCTTGTGCAGGTTTATCAAGGTGGCCCTACATGGCTGTACCATGGATAAACAGACAGCATTCTCCTGCACAGCAAAGCATGAATCTATTCCATGTAGGAAATGCAGACGAGACTGTCAGGGAGGCTTGGAGCAGAGCTCACCACTCCAGGGCCAACCAACTCCTTCTGCCTTTTGAGCCTAGAGCATCTGTGCTGTGTGCTGTAACTCCTTCCAGATTTGTGAGGAAACAGCGATGTAGGAGGGACATGGGGCCAATCACCAAAGCCATCCTTCTCAGCCTCTATGTAAGAAAACCAACCAATCAAACAGCAGGGTTGGGGGCTGCACAGATTGCAGCGTTGGACAATCTGCACCAGCAAAGCCTTACTCCTCAGCCACTGCTAGGAGCTCCACCTGACACTTCCAGGAGGCAGCCACTCTTGCCTCCCATCGCCTTACCCTCTGCGTGCAGTGACCTCAGAGGGAGCCGGGCACCATGGAGGGAAAGTTACAGTCACGGGCAGCTGCTGGGAGCAGCGCAGCCTCGGCCCGTGCTGCAGGAACATATCCGAGATCGAGTAGGCAGAGAGAGTCACCTCCAGGGCAGGAGCAGAACTGCAGCTCCGAGCCGTTGGTGAGCGCTTTCCGTGCCACGATGAGCTGAACCTCAAAGCCGGCTTAGAGAAACGCAAGTGCTGCTGCCGAGATGCAGACACTGCGGCATAGGAAGCAGCGGGACATCGCATCCCACGCAATGAGAGGCACCGCTCACCTTCAGGTGTGAAATGGGAACTCACAATCCAGCTCTTTGGCTGGACGCTCCCGACCTGCTCTAGGTGCTGGGTGTCCCCATGAGCCTGCATTGCAGACAGCTCAGCCACATTGCTCTGCATTGCTCTGTCCCAGCTGCACGGCATGCAGGCCACAGGCACCAGGACAAGCACTGTCATGGCGCACAGCTCATGAGATTCATCAGTCATAAGCTTAGTGAAGTCCAGCACTGCCCCACATACTGTCACCTCAGCTCCACCACAGCTCTGGTTCCCCCTGATGCTCCAATCCCCATTTTTGCTACAACTGGAAGATCTTGGAATAGGAGCAGCCAGTCCCACCAAACTGGCAGAGGACCATCACTACACCCCAGGTGACTCTACCCAAACTGACCCAGTGACACAGAGGGATTTAGTCCATCCTCTGACTGCTACAGGTGGACAAAGGCTACTCTGGTAACTTGGGCTGGTGCAAAGAGGCCCAGCATACTAAAGAGGCAGTTGAGAAAGAGCAAGAGAGACCCTGAAGATGACATAAGTTTTTGCAATCAGGAATACAAGAAACAGAAATAAGGAGTTTGTAGGACTGTGGAGGAACTCATCTTGCTTCCCAGAATGATCCCAACCTTCTGCACATAAGCCAAGCAGCCTCTTCTTGTTTGTTTTGATCACTTTCAACACCATCTGGCCATCAGTCTGCTGAAACAATTCTGATGAACACAGGTCAAACTGCCCCCAAAATTATGATGTAAAGGGTAAAGGCATTATCTGTGTTTTTACTTGCAGGTTTTGCTTTTATTGCTGCATCAAACTGAATATCAATGCCTGCATTGAGGAACCTCCATCAATAATCTGTGATAACTCTCTGAGAAGTGGAGAGCCAAGAGATCTCCACCTGCTACTGGCTGCTCTAGATGACATATAGAGCTAATTAAAGCCAAGACAGACCACAAATTAAAGATGACAAGCTTATGCCATTATCCATCAAGATTTGGTAAGATCTTCCTTCCATAAACCACTTAATTACACATGTTCCAATCTCTTAGTTTAATATCAAGCAAGCCTTAAAGCAGTATTTATTTTGGCTGGAATGAATACCAGGATAACTGACCCACACCTAGCCATGTTATCGTCCTTTCCCAGAGTGGAACAGTTCTGTTACTGCAGTTGTTTGCATGTTCAAAGAGGTCACTGCTCTGCTGGCATTTATCAGCAGTTATGAACATGTTGATCTTGAAGTGTTGGCCACATTTAACTGCTCTTTGACACCTTTCTTACAGGTAAGTAGGCATTTTGGGGTTTTTCTTGTAGTTTTTTTTTAATTAAAAACCACAATATTTGATTAAATAGAAGTCTGTAATAAATATATGACTTCATTTACTGCTTGTTCTTCATCCCATGATTTTTTTTTGTTCGTTGTATGGAGAATCTTGTATTTATTTACCACCTACAGAAGCTTAAACTTTATGCTGACAGTCAGCATCTTCTACCTGCCGTCTGCACTGCTTTTTTGTTACGCCTCCTACCAACACCCCAACTGCAGCTTTCTCCGAACCAGGTTTGATTTTCAGATCAGCTTTTGGCTTCCCTTCATCAGCAGAAGCCAACCCTATGAACAGCAGTTAAGCTTCAAGAAAACTGAAGTTTTCCCTCAATACTAACTCGATAGAAAATATGACTTACAGTTTCCCTCCTGCTAAGTATGATATCAGCACAAGATTTCCCATCTGCTCATCATGCTTATGAGGACAAACTCTTAAAGAATAGCCAACTGCCAAGCCCAGTGGGTAGTTCATCCTTGTGCACTGTGTTGGGGTGAGACCACAGATAAATTATTTGAGCTGCAGCAGAAGACATTGTAGAACACTCAGGTATCACAGTAACTTCATTGGCTTTTACCCAGCTTCCCAGCTGCACCCACCCCACCCCCCTCACTGAGGTTTCCACATCTTAAAGAGAGTACGTGAAAAACGATTCAATCAGTACTTGTGGGATAAGCTACGGCAGATGCGTGCTCCATCCTCTTTCTGGATTGCCTATGAAGATCCACCCAATGCAACCTCCAGCAGACCAGGTTCCACTTAACACCTCTCAGAGTAGCTGGCAGCAATTTAAAACCATACTTTGCCTTTCTGAACACCATCACCCCTCCTGGTCTGGTTAGGGCAAGCAATTTGTACACTTTCCTTTCCGGAAACACCCAACAGCAACTACACAGTCCTCACGGCACCACGACAGACAGAGTGCAGTCAGAGCAGGAAGGCTTTATTGCAACACAGCATCACTTGCTGCTGGTGTACTTGGTAACAGCCTTTGTGCCTTCGGACACAGCATGCTTGGCCAGCTCACCAGGCAGCAGAAGCCGCACAGCTGTCTGCACCTCTCTGCTGGTGATGGTGGAGCGGTGGTTGTACTGAGCCAGGCGCGACGCCTCCACTGCCAGCCGCTCAAAGATGTCATTGACAAATGAGTTCATGATGCTCATGGCCTTGGAGGAGATTCCTGTGTCAGGGTGCACCTGCAAGGTGTAAATGAAGCACTGTCACATACATCTACCTTCCAACAGGCAGTAGGGCTACACTAATCTTAGAAGAATGGGGCCACCCCTTGTATCTCCAGGGAGAACTAGTTGTGACCACAGGTCTCACACTGGTGGCCAGTCCCTTTAGCATAAAGAGATGTCCTGAAAAGAGAGTCTGCACAGGTCCTCAGTGGAAACAAACCTGCAAGGGCTGGGGGGAATGCCACCCTGCTCCAAGTCACAGCCACCTCTCACATGCCTTTCCTTCTCTCCCCAACAGAAGTTGTGTACTCTCACAGCCTCCAGAAAGATAAAAAAAGATTTTAGTTCCTGTTCACAAGGCCAGCAGCAGCTCCTCCTGCCCCAGCAACTCTTCTGTTACTGCCTTATGCAGAGTCATGCACTGGGGTTCGTTCTAGGAAACTTCTTCTGATCTAGGACTCTCTCATCACCTACTGGAAGATCCTTTTCCACTCCCCACATTAGATTCAGCCATGGCTCTCCTGTACCCTCTCTTTATAAGTTCATATAGAAGCAGATTTTCTTTTCTTCTCCTTTATAGGATTAAATGCAACGGGCAGAATTAACTTCACATGTGAAACAGCCCTCAACACAGGGAAATATTTACTCACCTGCTTCAGTACTTTGTAGATATAGACTGAATAAGTTTCCTTTCTCTTAGGCTTTCTCTTGGACTTCTTGTCACCAGAGGAGGAAGCATGACCATGCATCCTCCCACTTTCTGCACTCATCTCAGCCTCTCCCTAGGCAAGCTCAAGCAGAGCAACAACTTACTGCCATTGGGCTGCTTTTATAGGAGGGTCACAGCCCCTCACCAGCCCCAGGTGCAGCCCCCAAGGGTGCACATCTGTGCCCAATGATTCCCTCAGGCAGAAAGCTGGCCTGTGAGGAGCTTGGAAGTTGCTGACTGAACTGAAATTTCAGAGCTGAGAAGCTTGAAGGTAACATGGGTAAAGACACAGGTAAGAGTGGCAGTGCCCTGTTCACATGGGCAGACGTACCGGAGAAGGTCTGCTTCTGGGTCTCCCCAGGGGCTTAGAGGAAAGGATTCCTGCTTTAGTGGAAGGAAGCACTCCAGGTGTTGCTCCCACAGCCAAATGTGTTGGGCCACTGTTATGATGTGGAACAGGTGATTCAGTCAGTGGATGGTCAGTAAACGGAGGGAATAAACAGGGGGAACACTGGGCTTCTAATGGAGTGATAGCATTATAAGCATCCCAACAGCCAGAAGTCACAGAATCACAGAATTGCCAGGGTTGGAAGGGACCTCAAGGATCATGAATCTCCAACCCCCTGCCACACGCAGGGCCACCAACCATTCCACCTAATGCTAGACCAGACTGCCCAGGGCCCCATCCAATCTGGCTTTGAACACCTCCAGGGACGGGGCATCCACAACCTCTCTGGGCAGCCTGTTCCAGTACCTCACCACTCTCTCCGTAAAGAATTTCCCCCTGACGTCCAACCTAAATCTCCCTTCCCTCAGCTTCAAACCATTTCCCCTTGTCCTGCTGTCACTCACCCTTTCAAAGAGTTGATTCCCCTCCTCTTTGTAGGCTATAGTCATAGAATCATAGAACAACCAAGGTTGGAAAAGACCTCCAAGATCATCCAGTCCAACCGTCCACCTGCCACCAACATTTCCCCACTAACTCATGTCCCTCAGTACAACATCCAAACGTTTCTTGAACAACTCCAGGGACAGCAACTCCACCACCTCCCTGGGCAGCCTGTTTCTGTGCCTGGCCTCCCTTCCAGAGAAGAACCTGCTCCTAACATCCAACCTGAGCCTCCCCTGGCACAGCTTGAGGCTGTTCCCTCTCACCATACCGTTGTTACGTGGGAGAAGAGGCCGACCCCCACCTCACCACCACCTCCTTTCAGGCAGTTGTAGAGAGCCATCAGGTCTCCCCAAGCCTCCTCCAGACTGAACAATCCCAGCTCCATCAGCTGCTCCACGTGAGATTTGTGCTCCTGACCTCACAGCTCCACTGCCTTCTCTGCACACACTGCAGAGCCTCCTTGTCTTCCTGGCTGTGAGGGGCCCAGAACTGAACACAGCACTCCAGATGCAGCTTCAGCGGGGCTGGGTACAGCGGGTTGATCGCTTCCCTGCCTCTGCTGGCAACGCTATTTCTGATGCGAGCCAGGATGCCATTGGCCTTCTTGGCCAACTGGGCACATGGCTAGCTCATACTTAGCTGAGTGTCAGCCAACACTCCCAGGTCTGTTTTTTCCACACAGTCTTTCAGCCATTCTGTCCAAGCCTGCTGTGTTGCCTTGGGGTTGTTGTGGCCAAAATGCAGAACCGACTCCTGGGGAACTCCAGTTGTGAGCCGTTGCCAGTGGATTTAACTCCATTCTCCACCACTCTCTGGGCCTGGCAATCCAGACAGTTCTTTACCCAGCGAAGAGTGTACCTGTCCAAACCACGGGCTGCCAGCTTATCCAGCAGAATACTGTGGGAGACCGTGTCAAAGGCTTTGCTGAAGTCTATAGGTAGATCATTCCTCCCACAGCTCAGCCAGCCTGGACAGGCAGTCCTGCCTGCTGCACATCCTGAACTGAATTTGGGAGCCATACTCATCCATCACCGTCATCATGGCCTACAGCATCTCACCAAGCTCAGCTTTGTTCTAGGACAGTCCTCAAAGGGAGGCATCTGACTGCCCACCCCTACTGATGTCACAGCTACAAATGGGATCTAGGGAGGGGCTTCTTGTACCCAGCAACTGAACACCTGGGACGGCCTGGAACAGTCATGGCAGCACATCTGTGGAAAAGGAGGAGCTTGGGCATAGACTATAATGGGCAGCACATCCTTCTGGGAATGGGAGCAGCACATTCAGCAGTCTGTCAACATCAAGAGATGCTGGTGGACTCACACTGGGCGTAAGGAGCATGCCACAACTCCACTTTTCTTTTGGAAGAGGCTGTGCACTGGTTGGGTACAGCACAGGCATTCTGAGGTACATCCACCTCCCATATACCAAGCTGTAAATAGCAGAGATGCTGTTTGTGGTGGGGGGCTGCACGCTGTACCCAGCACTGCTTTTCCACCAGTCAGAGCACACAAATGCTCCCCAGTGCTAATGGAGCTGTTAGCTGTTGTCACACAGATGCAGCTGTGTGTGTTACAGAGAGAGTGGTGAGGTACTGGAACAGCTGCCCGAGAGGCTGTGGATGCCCCGTCCCTGGAGGCCAGATTGGATGGGGCCCTGGGCAGTCTGGTCTAGCATTAGGTGGGAAGGTTGGTGGCCCTGCCTGTGGCAGGGGGGTAGGAGATTCATGATCCTTGAGGTCCCTTCCCACCCTGGCAATTCTGTGATTCTGTGCTTGGGTTTTTTTTTTTTTTTAGTTTTGTACTGCATTTCTGACAAACTGCTTAGTTAGAGGGAAGCTCTGTTGGTGGCATTGCTTGGATTGAGCACAAGATGTCACACAGCAAGGATGGAGCAGTACAGTCACACTCGTATTCCCCATTTTAGGGAATTAACATCTCCTTTCTTTCACACCCATGTATGTAACACATAATTTCACCAGATTGGATGTTCTAGAGTCTGTCCATCTGAAAGCTGTGTGCTGGGCCAGACTCATCCTCGTGCTCTTTTTGTGATGTATGTGTTGACTCACACCACAGAGGTGAGGGAAGCCCACAGCTCTGTACCTGATATTCTATCTGCCACCTTTGGCCATAGTTTGGTACGAGGCAACTTCACTTCCATTCTACAAACAAGAGTAACACGCAGAGACTCCAGGCCACTGCTTTCTCACAGTGTGCCTAGATATGGTTCTGCCTGTTCAGGGAAGCCCCAGCGCAAACAGCACAGAATGCCACTGCCCAGGCACAGCAATCCACTCCGGGTCGTGTTCACAGCTGTTTCCATAGAACAAATGGTCACCACTGCACAGGTATAGGCCAAGGATGAAAAATGGAACTGCTAAAACATGCACTCATATTCCATTCAACAAAGCTTAGTGTACTGTGACCTCTAGTGCAGTTACAGGCACTTTGCTCTGAACAGGAAGCTCTGGGCCTTGTTTGCTCAATCAGAAGCTGGTCTGCAACTCAGAACTTTTGTTTCACATCAGCAGACAACTAACAGCTCTCATAGTTGCTGCATCATTTAGAAGAATTCTGCAACTCCTATCTGCCATCCCAACATTCCTGTGTCTTCCTCAGAGTACTGTTCTCAGAGAGCTCAGTCTAAGGTGATAACCTGCATTTCTTATTGCCCCCCCGGCTACAGATCTGAAGCGTGGCGTCACTGCTAAGAAAAAGCAGCTTCAGCCTCAGGCAGGACTTCCAGACCTCGTCGTTCTCACAGCCACCCTTCCAGCTCACCAACATCTTTTGAAAACCCGGAGAGCAGAACTAATGAAGACACTCATTAATCTGCTCTTGTTTCAAGTTCAGTGACACCAGTCGGGTCTTAACCTGTTAATTACTCGCTTGTGGCTTTTTCTCCATCACCACCTCTGTTAACTTCCCAGTACTACACTGTGCAGTGACTTTAAATTACTTTTCATTTAAATGACTTTTCAGCGCAATTCAGACTTTTCCATATAAGGAACTTGAACAGCATTTACATTAACCTGCATTACTTTCTTAGCAAACACTTTATCTCCTCTCGGAACTAAAATGATCAACAAGTCATGATGTTCTGTGGCTCTCCCAGTGACACTTCTCCCATGGGCGATGCAGTGCTTCCATAGCAGCCATCCACAGCTTGGATGGTCTCTTTCAATAAAAGAAGGAAATGCTTTGCTCAAAGCCAAAGCCGCAGACAGCTGGCAGCTGAGAAAGCACTCCAAGTAAGTCCAGCCACGATTCCTGCAGGGCAGGAACACAGTACTGGGCTACGTGAGCCTCCCGTGGCCTCGTGCTGCCATTCTCATGTGTAGTAATTAAATGATAACTCATGATCATACAGGATGGGTTTTTTTAGTGTATTCTCATTGTTTTAAAAATACACAAGAAAGATATTTTATTCAAGAAATTACTCAAGTTGCTCTGGCAGAAGGTACAGCTTTAACACTAAGTTTTCTAAGAATTTGTTATTCAGAACAAAAATAGATGTTAAACTAACTTCAGCTGATTAATGTTATTTAGTTAAACTGTTAGGAACAAATAAATAATTCATAACCCAAAAATCCTGATTTATTGAGAGCCTTGTATTAGGCCCATTAAATTCAAGATGAAAAAAAAACATGCATCAAAGCTGCTCTGTTGCGGAGCACACACACTGGTATTCTATAGATCTACATTTCATCTCTACTTTCCAATCTTTGGAATCTTTCAAGCTGTATCTATTAACAACAACAAAAGCATGTGTAGCTTGCTCCCCCTTCTGTCATTACCTGGAAGCCCCAGTATTCCATCAGTGAATTCTGCTCTGCTGTGTTCAACGCCAGAGCTCCTCACCCCTTCACATATAGCACAATTTCTGGTCATAACAAGAGGACTTTGGTAACAGTGAGCTTTGGTAAAGCCCAGTATCGGCTGATGAGCCCCAGCATGCCCCAGGAACTACCACAGCTCACAAAACGAGACTGTTCTTCCCTCTTTATTGACTGATGGATTCTCAGGCAGATCTTGTAATTACACTGTTAAATAATAGTTAAAAACAAACCGAGGCCAGAGGAGTTTGAAGTGAAGTATCTAAACTGAAGCAGAAACTGGGGAGGAAGATGCAGGATAAGCTGGGCCGGGGTCTCCACTTCTGTATCACTGCAACTCAGACACCCTAACTGCCACAGCACAGGCCACTGGATTCCAAGGCCTGGCTCAGATGGGACATCTAAATATGGGAAATGGCTGCCCAAATTAAGCCAGATCAGGAGAGAAGAGATCTGTCCAGATAGAGGTGCAAGGCAAGTCAAGGGGAAGCAGTATTGCAGCAATCCTAGAACACAGCCACATATAGCAGCAGTCCCACTCCAGTCAACAGGTGAGCGAGTCGCGTTGGCCACTGTCAGTCTACGTGGAGAGAACCTGGCCAGCTGCTCTGAGCTCACACGTTGTGGGTCTTCTTGGTGAGCTGCGGATCCTCATCCACCAGCTTGGACTTGAGATGCTCCTTATAGGCGAGGATGTCACCTTGCCACTTGGTGATTGTCTGCTTCTCACAGACCCAGATCTCCTGAGCAACCTGAAAGGAGCGCACAAGGACAGGGAGGAGAGGTTATACTGCAGCATTCTCCGATTTTTACCAACATGATAAAATTAACCAAAACCTATTATTTGAAGTATGATGAGGAAAGAGTACTAGGTTTCATACATTCAATTACCAAAGAAAAATATCTGCAGGGAAATATCTATCTGTTGTTTTCTGAGCAATGGATATAAGATTTTAGAACTAACAGTCTTTGACTCTTCAACATTTCTTTTGTTTGTGGATGAAAAAGAAATTAATTGCCTGCTAAATTGGGAATTGAAGAAAAGTGGCTCTTGACATGAACTATTTGAATTTGCTGCACTGAAAAACAAAATCATAGCTGAACTTACTGACAAGTCTATAGCTGATAAATCAGCAACTGACATTTATGTGCAACAGAAGCAACTTCCTTCACCTGTGCAGACAAAGTGATAAAGAAAACTCTGCTAAAATTATTCCAGTACTGTGTCGAACAACCTAGCTAGAGCTTCCACAGCATGATTTCCATTTAAATTATTCTTTAGTAGTAGTATTTGTTTCTTCTTTCAAGTGTTCTCTGAGGCCAAGTAATTATTCGACACAAACATGGCAAAGGAATCATGACTTTTTTCACTCACATATCTTTTTGGGATAAAGAACAGCCAGTTAACTGAAAACCCTGATTTAATTACTCAGAATGTTGGTAAGGTGCTTTGCAAAAATTCACTGCTCTATTTACCTGCTGGATGAGTCTGAAGTCGTGGCTGACAAGCATCATTCCTCCTTCAAAGTCATTGATAGCATCTGCCAGAGCATCTATTGTTTCTATGTCCAAGTGGTTGGTGGGCTCGTCCAGGAAAAGCATGTGGGGATTCTGCCAGGCCAGCCACGCAAAGCACACACGGCACTTCTGCCCATCAGAGAGGTTCCGGATGGGGCTCACCTGACAGACAAAGACACTGTTTGCAGCTCTGCAAGGAAACTGAATAGCACCAGTTCCTAAACTGCCACACTGATCAGAAAACATTCACATCTCAAACTGTGTTTGCAGAAGATGCACGGCACGAGAGGACAGGTACATCAGGTGTACACCTAGACTAGGCTTCCTTAATCAGCAGAACAAGGAAATTCCAGGGGCTTCTGAAAAAGGGGTGTCCACCCCAAGACCCAGCTTCTGTTAGAGGTCAGAGGGCAGTTTTAGATGAGCTCTGTCTGTTCATTCAATCCTGACACAAGCCTAAACTTACTTTTGCCTCTTCTACTGGCATTCACCTCGGAAACAGAAATAAGCAAGCTAGTTCAAGCTACAATTAAAACATGTTTTAAGCTAGCACTATGCCACAACCTGTCTCTGTTCCTCAACCCAGATTGAGGAGGGTCACCCACTTCAACACAAAAACACACTGCTTCAACAGAAATGTGGTTTAACTCAGCAGGTTGCTGAGCACTACACAGTTATTTGCAGAACTCATGGGTTGAGATAAAACTATTTATTGAGAGAAAAAAAAAAGGATAATAATTATGGCAAATACCAAAAAATGTATATAATAAGCGATGCACAAGCAATTGCTCACCACCTCCCCAGCCGATGCCCAGATAGCCCCCAAGAATTGGGAGAGAGAGAGATGAACTCCCACCCCCTTAAAAACTCTTTCTGCTTGATGTCATACATTATGGAATATCCCTTTGGCAGTTTAAGTCAGCTGTTCTGATTCTGTTCCCTCCCAGCTCCTGGGGTCCTTTGCTGAGAATGGCCTTGGCTCAGTACAACACTGCTTAGCAGCAACTATGAACATTATAGTGTTAACAACGTTGTGTTTCTCCTAGAACCAAAACACCACATCATACCAGGCCTCTGAATAAAACAATTCCATCCCAGCTGACATTAAGACAGCAAAGTTCCTGTAAGCCATGAGTTATTTTCTTCCAATTTTAAAACTGGAGATGGAAAAAGCATTCAGATGCTGTGACATGCCATACTCCATACTGCATCACACTGACAGACATCAGCAGTGCAACAGAAAATGCAGTAGTTCTACGTCCCAAATGAGTAAAGAAACCTTCAACAGCTTATACTCACCTGCTGTTTCCCTGTCAGACCATATCTGCCAATGATTTTTCTCATCTCCTCCTTCTCTTTGATTTCTGGGTAGCATTTCATCATGTACTCCAGGGGTGAGAGGTCTAAGTCCAACTGCTCTTGCAAGTGCTGACAGAGAAGAAGAGTCAGCTTCAGCTTGTGCATGCCACCCACCTCCTGGTCAGAAGTAGCCCCCCCCTTATATCTCTCTGGTACCAGCTAGGCAGCAGAACACAAGAGATTATACACTGTGCTGAACTGTTAGGGAAGGAGACTCCTTTCCAGGAGCAGTGTACTGCCTCAGAATAACAGACTTGTCCAATATCAAGCACAAGGCAACTATCTCTGCTGTACAAGGTGAGAGGCTAAACAGAAAGAACCACATCAAGCCTCTTTTCAGGACAAGAACATTGGATAGACCCCATTCTGTCAGCAGAACAGTTTCCTCCCCAAGCTCAAGGCACAGAAGAACAGCAGCGAGATGGGCCTTAGAAGCAGGAGGAAAGGATAAACATTCCTCATTCCTGGCAGCTTTTTCCCCAGTATTTCATGTCCCTGATAGTTGCCACAGGGAGTACCTGGTGGTATCTACCGATCTTCACATGTGAATGCTTGCGAATCATCCCATCTGTGGGCAGCAACTAGAAGGGGAAGATAAAAGTTATTTCACCATGAAATCCCTCCTTTCACTCTATGCCAGAATGAACAGAATCTATCCATCTCCTCCCCAGTACAGAAGATGCAGTCTGAATATACAATGTGACAGAGAAAGCCCTTTGGAAGTTCTAAAGTCTGATGGAGTACTGTGATAAACAAGTGCTGACCCACTGAAGACTACCCAAAGAATAAAAGGCCAAAACAGGGAAGACAATGCTGTAAGCATACCTCTCCCGTGAGCAGTTTCAGCAGTGTTGACTTTCCAGCTCCATTGGGTCCAACAAGAGCAACACGGGTATCCAGGTCAATCCCAAACTCCAGGTTGTTATAGATCCATGGCTGCAAGCCACATAAATCATTATACACAATATGCCTTTCCACTATTACCCAAAATCTACTACCCGTGTAACTGTACAGCTCCGTCCCCAGCAGACTTAGTATCAACACTGCCAAGAAGTCTGATCCCAAAAGCCTCACACTTCCAAACAAGGCACAGATACACATGATTTTCACATGACCCATGCACACAGAATCACAGAATGGCCAGGGTTGGAAGGGACCTCAAGGATCATGAATCTCCAACCCCCCCACCACAGGCAGGGCCACCAACCTCCACATTTAATACTAGACCAGGCTGCCCAGGGCCCCATCCAACCTGGCCTTGAACACCTCCAGGGATGGACGGGGCATCCACAACTTCTCTGGGCAGCTGTTCCAGTACCTCACCACTCTCTCTGTAAAGAATTTCCCCCTGACATCCAACCTAAATCTCCGCTCCCTCAACTTCAAACCATTTCCCCTCATCCTGCAGTTATCGAGCCTTTCAAAGAGTTGATTCCCCTCCTGTTTGTAGGCTCCCTTTAGGTATTGAAATGCTGCAATGAGGTCACCCCGCAGCCTTCTTTTCTCCAGGCTGAACAAGCCCAGCTCCCTCAGCCTGTCTTCATAGGGAAGGTGCTCCAGTTCCCTGACCGTCTTCGTGGCCCTCCTCTGGACCCTCTCCAACAGCTCCCTGTCTTTTTTGTACTGGGGGCTCCAGACTTAGACACAGTATACC